AATTAAAACAATGAAGCTTGATTTTAATTATGTAATTATAGACCAGCAGAACAGACAATTTTCCTAATTGTGTGTCAGTCAGATTCCGGATTTCAATTCAGTAGAGAAAAGTGCATTATGAGTTTATTGATTTATGTAGCAAACGCATTTGATGTTTTCTTCTTATTTGGAGGAAAACAATTCCAGTCTGCTTCATAGCAGATGTGGAACATAGTTAGAAAATGCTATAGTCTTCCTGAAGGTATTTTCTGAATTATGCCTCTTAATTTTCACCTCTGGCTATCATTCTGTCATTAAGACATAAGCTAGGCTAGTCACCATGTTTATTAGCTTATTAGCTGCCCATTTGAATTTACTTCTGTTTTGCAGGAAGTAAACATTATTCTTAAAGTTTATGTAAACACTAAAATCACTTTTTAAATAATCTTAAATATTGATGCAATTTCTACAATAAACTAGAGAGTTTGACACAAGTGAGCTATACTGTATCAGCAATCCTACATCACCTGGGCGTTACATCTAAAATGCTTTCTAGAATTTTACCACTATATTCTGGTCCAAAAGTTCAAGTGTGGGTTAACAGTCATCTGTCAGACACATTTTACATACATAATGGAAGGAGACAGGCATGTTCCCCGTCTCCCCTGATATTTTTTATTAACCTTGGAACCATTATTGCGGCAAATAGAAGCTGACAAAAACATACATTGTGTGGTAGTGGGTCACAGGGAGTACAAATGAGTGGCCTTTGCACATGGGTAATTGCTAATCCTGTCATGACCACATTTAACATTTTCCCAATTTGCTGAAACCACTGGAAGGCTTCCAACAGCTTTTTTATTTCAAGATGAACAGTGCTAACTCGTTCACACTTGTGGTTACACTCCCACAGGCTATTGTGCAGCACTGGCAACATAGCTGGAAGTCTAAGCCTTCCATGTATTTCAGAGTAATTACCATCCAACCTTTCTAACCTTAACCAACATAACTATGTAAAACGTATCCAAACAATTAAATAGAACCTCGCCCAGTGGAGCAATCCATCCTTTTTCTGGTTTGGCAAGAAAGCTATACTGAAAATGAATGTGGCACAGAGAATTATTTACTTCCTTGCAGACCTTACTGATACATCTGCCAAAAATCATTAAAAACACAACCCCTATTTCACACATTTGTTTCCGGACACAACCCCCCAAGATTATTAATGTAATCCCTGACCTCCCCAAAACACAGGAGGTATAGGATTGCCTGACATTTAAAGGTACTATTGGGCCTGTCAACCTGGTAGACACAGACTACTTAAGCATGGGTTTCTCTGGGATGCTCATTTTCAGCAACCCCTTTTAATTTTTCAGCATGGATTGGTAAACAATGCGTACAAAAATGTATACTTGAACATCCCCATATTGGCAATACTTTAAAGGGTTTTCATGGCATTTTTAAGTACTACAGCCTCTCCTCAAACCCAGGCCCCCTAAACACTATTTGGAACAATCCCAACTTCTCTCCAGGTATGTCTCTGCTTCCTGAAAAACTGACTATCACACCAATGTATGACTGCCCATCTCTTTTTTGTCAGAGGCACGTTTTGGGATAGACAATCTCTACTTAATAGGAAAAAAGAAAATAGCACTGCGTTTCAAACTCAAAAATTATATTCCTAAAATGTGGAAAAAAATAATAATTTTCAGATGAACAATTAGCGCTTTTCAATTGTTCATCTGAAATATGGTGAGCAATAGGAGTCGGTGAGTGCGGCCAGATCTTATCTTTGAGCACGGTTGGGAGTGGAGAGCACTGATTCACTAATTGTTTATGCATTCACGGACGTGGTGTTGATTATAAAAGTTGGAAGATATATCCCTACATATTTCAAGGACTTTATTGTATCCAGAAGTAATGGACTTCACATGTTGTACATCACTTGTGAGATTTAACACAGGATTTTCTATATGTACACATTTTATGATATGTACTAGCACGTTTGTTTTCCTATGTTTATTATGGTTTATAGCAGTGATGGCGAACCTTTTTGAGCCGGAGTGCCCAAACTGGATCACTAAACCAACTTATGTATCTCAAAGTGCCAACCCTTCAATTAGACCTGAATACTCTCCGGGGGGCTCTGCAGTTCTGAGGTGGTCTGTACAGGCTCTCAGGGGAGCTGTGCAGCTCTCAGACAGTCTATTATGGCTTTTGGGTGGGCTCTGTGGTCCCTCTGGTGGTATGTATGGGCTCTCTGGGGGGCTGTGTGGCTCTCTGGTGGGCTGTGCGGCTCTCTGGGGGGCTATAAGGGTTTTCAGGTGGTCTGTTTGGGCTCTCTGGGGGGCTGTGCGGGCTCTCAGGGGGGCAGTGTGGCTCTCGGGTGGTCTATAAGGGCTTTCAGGTGGTTTATATGGGCTCTCTGTGGGGCTATTCTGCATTGCTGTATAATTATCATACAGCAATGCAGAATACCACCAGCTATGCGGGACTACAAGTCCCAGCAATACATTATAATGAAAGTCAGCACTACACAGCAGAGGCATAACTAGAAACCTAGTCTTACCCGCAGCAATAATAATTTATTATTGCTGCGGGGAAGGGGGGCAATTATTATCGCTGCCTGGGGGAGAATTGTTTTTAGGCAGGAGTTAATAAAAAAAAACACAATACAATAATACAATACAATAATAATACAAAGCCTGCCGTGATTGACTCAGCGCCGAGCCAATCACGGCAGGCTTTCTATTCATGAATACAGGCTTTGAATACTTAATTGTCGGCTGCCGCAGCTCTCCGTGTTCCTCCGCGGCAGCCGAAAATGGTAAAATAGTCCCCTCTGTTCTGCTGTCAGTTCAGCGGGGGAGAGAGGGAACTACTGTATAACAATATTAATTGGACTGGGACCGCTATCGCTGCGTCCCTTTGGTAATGCGGACCAGGGCTCGCGTGCCAGCAGAGGGGGCCCCACGTGCCCACTCTGGCACGCGTGCCATAGGTTCGCCACCGCTGGTTTATAGTGTCTAGACCATTAGACCTAGAACTTTTTCTTATTATCATTAGCACAGGCATTATGCAACACAGGTGTTGTCTATGACACCAAATTGTTTATTACTTTGTGACAATTTCACATTTCATAATAAATTTTTTTCACATTTTAGGAATATAATTTTTGAGTTTTAAGCGCAGTGCTATTTTCTTTTTTCCTATTTTGGGTGTACTCACCTATTAAGCACAGCTGCTCTCAGAGTGTTATTTGATTTCTAGCACAGTTTTTTCTATCTAACAATCTCTACTTAATGCTTTAGACAGGAAAGACCTTCCATTCTGTTCATACGTAAAACCCAGACACTTTCTTAATAACCCTTCTTCACATCATTAAACAATATTATTTATTCCGATTCACTGAGACGCAAATTATCTGCCCTATATCAGACTTTGCTTTGAACTCCCATGCCAGGTACAGACCAAACACGCAAAAAAAGTGGGAGCAGGACCTCAATATCCCTCCACCTTAATACGACTGGGAAAGCAAACTTACTCACACTAAAGGGCTCTATCAGTGTCATATTTAGAAAAATACATTCTAAATATGCTCATGATGGTACTGATTACTGTACCACTTCACTCTAGTGATATATTTTTTGGGGGGGGGATTCTAACAAGAAGGGGGCACCTTTATTCTAATGTGGTGAAATAGTTAAATCACACAAACATTCTAGCAGATAATCAAGCAACAAATCCGTAAAAAATTGATTCAATCAGTTGTTTTTTTAAAGTGGTTTGTCCTGTGACTGATTTCAGCTCGGTGATCAAGTCATAATGGCGGAACGCGCGAGAGTGTGAAGTTGTGTGCAAGTGTACAGCTTATTTACGCTCATGGATTACACAGCGTATGGAAGATTTATTTCTGGAGTGCAACTTCCCTTTTTACACTTGGATTTAGAACAAATCCCTACAGGTGATTCACTAAACCAGGTTCATATGCCACTATGCTATAACCATACTGCTCACCGTAAATATAAGCAGACCCTTTAAATTCTTATACTAAATGCAGCTCAGTGGATAATTCCTACTTACTGAAAAAAAATGCACCAGCCTCTCTGAAGGACTTGATTCACCATTAATGACCTGTTCCCTTGTTTTTATCCTTAAATGCAGGTTGTGCTACAGTAGAATACTGTCACACCCACCCTGTACTCATATATATAGTGTATATATATATTATATTTCTTTCTTTCTCTCTATCATCCTACACACTTCCGCTATACTTGAATTTCCCCTACTGCTAGAATCTATACTGGCCCTCAGCAGTCACTCTCCTACATTTAAACACCATCCCTGTCACTGCTTTTACAAGCTATATGCTTTTTACCCCCTCATTGTCAAAATGGGACTTAATAATCCAGATTGATAACCTCTATAACCTGATAACATCTATACTTTGAATTTAAATTACATAAACAATTACAAGCCATATACTGCACATTAACCATAAATCCAGTACCATGAATGTGCACCTGCCAAGGGGGTTAACCACTACAACTCACAACCTTGCATATATGGCATTAGATCCTCATAATTCTGTTTATGTTACTTTGAATCGTATTTATGAAATGTCAGAAATGCTTGTCTTACGTTCTCTGTATTTTACATTTTTTTTTTCAATTAATGTTTCTTTACAGAAAAAAGAAAGAAGATGGAAGCCTGAATAAATTTATAGTTAATGTAAATGAATGTAAATACAGTATAGACAAGTGTCCTATTAATTTCCCTGTATATGTGTGAAACATAAAAAAACCCACCTGCAGCACATACACAAGGTTATTGTAATTAACTTGGGATTTAAAAGATTTAGTGCTCTGGGCATCAAGGTTGTGTGCAAAATGTTGTTTATAAAAGAATACTTAATCCTGTAATGCATTTGTGACTGTCACCATAAAATGTTTTCTATCTTTTAATGGATTGATTCATTTGTTGTTCGTGCTGTAAAGTGCCTATTTTTGTTTTCTGAACAGGTTGGCCATTTGGCAACACGATCTGTAAAATGAGTGGCATGGTTCAAGGAATTTCTGTGTCTGCCTCTGTTTTCACATTGGTGGCAATAGCTGTGGACAGGTAAGTGGAAAATGGGCAATTAAAGTTGAGCTCCAAGGATAATAAAAACAACATTTAATGCAGTTATGTATATAATAACATTGTTTTCTTAAATACCACTAGTGTGAGCACTATAATAATGTCAGTATCCTGTAATCTGCAGCAGACAAGCACTTAGACTGGGAAAATGAGGGAGCACGTGGAGCCAGAGTCTCAGCTGCATGCACATGTTCTAAAAGTTAAAATGCTTGCAGAAGTCATATGAGCAGAGGGAAGACCCTTGAGGGTCTCGCTGCTGCTGCTTCTTGCATATTCAGCAGGCTGTGGGTGTGTTCTTGACCAACCCAGGCTGATACTGCACTGCAGGTTACAAATCTGAGTGTGCAGTGGGTTAGGGTGACTTTATTACAAGACTGTATGTACAAAGTTACATATGAATTGGCAGGTAAAATGTTCAAATATTTGTATTTTAACTATGTATTTAGCTGCTTAACCCTACAAGCTTTACATATACAGTATAGCGTAAGAAAAAAAAAAGGAAAACCCATTTCAAACATACAGGATATGCAATTCAAAATATATTTTAGCTCGTATCAGAAAATAGGGAGACATTTGTTAAAAAGATTCTAATGTCCATATAGTAGGTAACATGGTAAGAATCAGTTTAATATATGGTTCCACTGATATCCTCTATTTACAATAGTGTGTTATCCTCTATTTACAATAGTGTGTTCTACACACTATTTTTGGAGGTGTAAACATACTGGTTCTCTTTTATTTTTATTAGTCCTGTCCCCAATTGCTTACTAAGACTGAAGTAAAAAGGAAGCATACCAGAAATTCCACATTATCCTGAAAAAAACATTTGTAGACACCTCGAAAACTAACAGGGACTAAATGCTTAATAGTGCTTGAATGGGAACAAAATGTTTCTCCTTTAATAAAAGACCCATACAAGTCAATCCTATCTTCTATGTTGCACACTGCAGTTGACACTGATTAATTAAACTATGATAGCTTGCTCTCAAACTTTATCAGCATTATGGTATGTTAATAGTCAACAGAGTCTAACTACATTGGAGGTTTATCACCTCACTTAAACTGCTGAATCACAGGTTTGCTCAAATTTATACTGTATATACTCATTTTACATCTTTCCTCATAGAAGTCTTGGTTTCCATACACTGCAATGATGATGGGCAATTAAATCCTAAACAGCTGTATGCTTGCATGAATTGGAAATAACAGGTTATGTAAGATTTAGCTGTGTCTGTGCTGTAATCCAAGTGTTATGGGTACACAGTTGGCTTGACAGCAAAAAAGGAATGATTGGCATGGCCCCACTACTGCCCTTAGATGAGGTATAAACCCCTTAATTTTTTTATTTGTATTATAGGTGAGAAATTAAAATGTATACTTTTTCTAGAAGGACTCCTGTGCTTCCCACTGGTCTAGTGAAGGGCTTTTTGGTTCACCTTGCCATAACCTGTTTGACTATACTTGGGTCAATGAGGTTGATCTACTAAAGAAAAATAGGCTGTTCAATTTGCAAGGGATTTTCCGCTTAGCCTAATGAATGTGGTAAAAATTCACTTTGCAAAGAATATCAATCTCATGCAAGTAAAATAAAACAAAACTGTATTTTTGCTTGCACATAACAAAATGATGGAAGTCAGTAGAGCTTCACCTCATTCACTAAGCTAAGGGAAAAAAATGACCTTGTAAAGTGAAAATTCTGTTGCAAAATGAATAGCCTATTTGTCTTTTGTAAATCAACTCCAATAAGTGCATAATGAATTGTTAAACTGACTATAACTTGGACTTAAAAAAATAACAATAATAATAGTTTTTTCTTTAAATGTTAGCCAAAATTTGTGCAAATTGTTTAACATTATTTTATAAAGAAGTTTTTAGCCAAAATATTACTTAACTTGTTTTTCTTGTAGAAATGCTGTTAGAGCTTAAAGCCTATCTCCGGGGGAAAAAAACCCTTCCCTTGCAGTGAGGCTACCTGCTCGTTAATGTCTAGAGGACCTGTGTAGAAGATTTTTGCTTAGCTGATCCCCACTCCCTCAGCAGTCGTAGCTCACCTCGTCTCGACTACACTCCTTGTTGGGGTCTGTTCCTTAATGTCTTCACAGCTAATGCAGGGCTATTGGCCCTTCTTTGAATGTGATGACAGCAGGCCTCTGACCTCTGGAACATAGAGGGGAAGAGACTACAAGTGCTGGTCTTGGGGCCTGTGAGAGCAAGGATCCGGTAAGAAAAAGTATTTTGCAGTAGACAATAACGAGCAGTCACCCCTTGCAGTGCAGGGGTATCATACCTCAAGGTGAGTTTTTCTCCAGAAGATAGGTTTTAAACGTATCTAAACCCAAAAGAAAAAATGTAATATATTGCAGCTTACTTATCTACAGATGTGGTGGATGCATTTGTTTTCTTTTTAGTCTTTTTTTTTCTTCATTTTTACCTGGTAATCCAGCCAGTACGTTTCTCATCTTCATTTAACAGACCAAGCTGTTCAGCAAAGGGGGCAGTTAGAAGGTTGAGACAAACCATTCAACTATGACAGAGTGCATACAATGGTCAGATTTTATTTATATATCTAAAACCTTTATCACAAAAGGAAGAGATCTTTTGCTGTAACTTCTTAAAAACTGTTAGCTGAAATTCAGCTTTAATTTGTTAGTCAAGTCAATCTACATGTGCTCGTGAATCTAACACTACATTTCCACAGGTTGACAATGATGGTGTCCAAGGGTGGCTCCCATTGCTCCTCCATAGAGTGAAGCCACCCTTAGAGCTTGTTCACACCATATACAGTGTGTTCCAGCGTGGTTAGCCGCTGGAATGCTCTGTATCGCACCCTTGCCAGGTCCCTGTGTTTTGGGACGGGAGGGGCCATTGCGGTGCATTGAAGTCAATGGCACTTCTGCCACATCCCCCCCCCGCCCCCCCAGCAGTGTGATTGCCCACACCACAATGCGTGGAACATCAGTGCCTGCATTGTGGTCCAGTGCGATCAGAAAAAATGCTGCATACACAATTTTTTTCCCGATCGCACTGAACCAGAATGCAGGCATTGTTGATCGCACTTCCACGCCCCCTCCCACCCCAGAATGCAGGGAGCTGGCCAGCGTGTAATAATGTGTGTTTGAGCAGCTAACCGTGACGGAACTCACTGTATTTGTTGTGAACGAGCCCTTAGGTGTTTATTCCAAGACCAAAAAAGCACCCCAATGTATCCCTAGTATCCCTATGGTATTTCTGGACTCTGTCCACACCAGCACATTACATTCCGGTCCAGACAAAAAAAGATACTGCTTGGAAACACATGGAAAACACACACAAACAGATGCAAACGCAGTGGACTGCGCCTGAAAGCCCATTTTAAGCTAAAAAAAAAACACACCGTAACGCGGCAAAAACGCTCCTGGAACTACGTTTGCAGATCTGCTCCGGATCTGGTCCGGACATGGTGTGAACATAGCCTTAGACAGAAAGTGTGTTATAGATAAAAATAAAGACCTAATGAAAGAAACTAATGCAGCCATCACATATAAGGATTGGTAAACTGCAATATACACTCACTGGCCACTATATTACACCTTTGGTAAGCTGCAATATACAGTATAAAATGTCTCTTGTTGGGTTTAGATACGCTTTAAGAAAAAGCATTCCTTATGTTTTGCAAATGAAAACTAATGCCTGCAGTTGTAAATCCAGGTCAATGTTGGATTAAATGACATTTGTCTTGATTTTGAGATTAGCTTGCCCCTTCAGGTTTGCTAAACTCTTGAAAAGATTTCAGAAAATGTCTCCCACAAGGCTTTTATATAACAGTTATGTGTGAATAAGCACACACCAGTTCAAATCCTTTTTCTAGCCTGCTGCTTCGAATTTTGTGGTATGCCCTTTCAAAGTTGCTTTCTATGCTAAAGAAATAGAACTCAGCATAGATTTACAGAATTTTGTAAAAGGCTTACTTACCCAAACACCGAAAAAGTGCCTGAATCTCATCCGCTTCTGCCTTTACATAGCACACCTCAATTAGATCACATAGTAGTATTACCACAGTTTGTTGGTGCTGCATTAAACAAAACAGGAGGCTGGTGGAGCTTAGTCAGTCTCTAAAAAATGCAACTGCATGTACACATCAAAGCAGTTAGTTGAAGCTGAGTTGTAGTAAAGTGACTCAAGCATCGGATATATTTTTCAGGTGGATGTATGCTAAGTATTGTACATGTGTAACACTTAAAGGATTGTATTACCACTTACAGGAATTTGTCTTTGCTTCGGTATCATCCAGAGTGAGCATTTAATTCCTGGAGTAAGATGCTGGCTTAGATGCCACAGTCATGAAAATGCTGGTGCCTGTGCAGTTTTTTTTAATACGAAATTCGGATACGGAATCCGTTAACGGAATTCGTATTTTGTTTTGTTTGACCAATCAGAGGTTGGAATTCGGAATTCGTATTTCGGATACAAAAACAACTGCCACATAGACTCCAATATTAACAAAGATATTTTTGCTTTTTAACTTCATCATAACGAATGTTTGTAAATTTACGAAAATGTGCCGAAACTAACGAAAATCCGTATTTCGTACGAATCCGAATTGAGTTTCGTATACGAATTATGAAATATGAAATAATGGATATTACGAAACGGAACGAAACGAAATGGAACACATTTTTTGACGGCGCACAAGTCTAGCAGTTTGTGACTATTTTCCCGTTTTCATTGCTGTGATAGTTTAATTGACAATTACTCGGTCCTGGGACAATGTACCCAAATACATTTTATATAATTTTTCAAAAAAACACAGACTTTCTTTTGGTGCTAAATAACCCTTCATGACCGGACTGTTTTGGCCATGTTGTACATTAAGGACCATGGCTGTTTTAACACTTCTGCACATACATGTCAAACAAGAATATGGGGTCTATTCACAAAGCTACCGAAGGATCTAGCCGTAGCTTCGGCTGATCCTTCGGGTAGTTTCGGCCCCAGGACCCCTT